TCGTCTTTTCCCCTTATTTATTCCCGGCATTTGACCATTTTGGGGTCTTGTTATTGTAAAAAACAAATTGACGTCAGTTTTTTATGCGTCTGTCCTTATAGACGATAAATTTCGTCATAACATTGTCAAAGTTTACTGCGGAACCACTCGCCTGCGGCTCGTGGTTCCATAGCCACTTTCACAATGTTGTGATGCAATTTGTCACCAATAAGAGGAGAGACGCATAAAAACTGACGTCAATTTGTTAAATGCAACACGCATGCGATACGGAAGAATTTCGTCTTAAAAATAGTCAATCATCGATCGCGTTATATCGGCAACAAACACCAGCCATATGAAAAGTAGCCTGTAAGTAGGCTCTCTTTGAAGGGTCCTTGTAGGTATCCGATTTAACAGGTCATCATATCATGTGTTTTTAACTTTTCAAAAAATCTCTCAGTAGGCTATTTGTTTTCTTTTAAAAATATAAAAATTATTCATTTTGATTAGTTCTTGTAGGAGTTATCTTTTCTCAATTACGCCCTGGCATTCCTCAGTTAGTGGCAGATTTAATCAGCTGGTGTCAGATTACAATATAGTTCTAGAGTACAAAAGTATTTTTTTCATAATCTTTGGTCTTCAGGCTTTCTAAAAATGTATAAATAAATGTAAGGGCGTTTGGAATTAAATCTCACTACGAGAAAAATTTGAAAAAATGGTGTGTTAACCCGCGTTTTAAATCCCTGAAGAAAACCAGTCTGGGCGTGGCTCGAGATTTTTTGAACGTTAAAAGAAAAAAAGGAAAAGGCTCGATTGCAGGCCCTGTTCAGGAAAGGAGCTCGAGAGAATGGCGGAAATCGAGTCCAAATAAGAGTGACGGTAATAAGAGAAACGGAACGGAGAGTAACGGAAAGGGTAACGGAAATAAGAGTGCCTTTTATCATTTTTTTTTCTTCAAGTGCACCTTAAAAGATACTTTGGCAGCTAAAATAGTGGTGTTTGGTCATGAACACCCTAAGTGAGACCAGAATCTTTGATTTATACCCCTTATTGAGGATTTACACATGAAATAAACTCAATCGATATTTCCCCGATACGGATTTAACGTTAGTTGAAAAACATACACTGACCAGTATGCTATTTGACTTGGGCTTGAACAGCCATGTTCAACTACTGTAATGAGTCTATTTAGCGCCCGTGGCGCTTATTACCTTTTGGTACCTCAAAGAAGGGCGCTTATTCAGGACAGGGGCCAGTTTCTCGAAGGTCCCGAAAAGTTTTCGCACTCAGAAAGCCGTAGCAAACTCTCAAATTTTATGATTATAGAACCGTTTTATTCACATATTCTTAACATGAAAAGAGGTTCTCTTCATACAAAATGTTTTAGGCTTTTACACCTCTTTCCGGGAATTTCGCGAAACAGGCCACAGGGTGCTTATTTCTAATTTGAGAAACAACCGAATGTTCAAGGATCAAGGAGACTGGAAAACGGACTTGCTGTCCTTGGATCCTTCCAGAACGACCAGCCCAGAGCAATCGCCACAAAATTTGAAGGAGATGTCATTCATTTGAAGGAATTATGCATTCACATGGACATAATAGTTGGGAAAATGACTCAGTCCACATTTTTGAAAGGAGGCTTTTAGACTTTTATGATAACAAATCTCTTTCTTATAATCTTCCAAGTAGTGGGGATGTAAGTAAGTATGTAAACTTATTTCTAAATTAACTAATTATTAAATATAAGCAGGCGATTTTAACGTTAATATTCGCCTGCTTATGTTTTAAGAGATCGTTAATGATCAAGAATTATTAAATAATAATTATTACTATTTTACTACTACGATTATAATTATTACTACCATTTTGTTATTATTTTAAATTCTTTTTATTGAAGCTGAATATCAATTGGCGCATCGTCCATTTTTCTGCTTGCTGACGCCTATGACTTATTTATTATTAATATTTTATTATTTTATTACTTTGGTTTCCTATGTATCAGTATGCAACGAATTCCATAGTTTAAAGTTTAAAATGAGACGAAGACAACTGTTTATTCTTTTTGTAATGCACCATACACCTTATTCCAAAATGGCAGCCAATTTATTATTCTTTTGTTTACATGGTAATTAGCCCTCTTTGCCTCGTCAGCATGTACAAAATACAAAAGAATTTTGAAGTGAAAATGAGGCAAAGAGGGCTAATAAACATGCAAACAAAAGAATAATAAATTGGCCGCCATTTTGGAATAAGGTGTATTACAAAAGGAAGCATAAAAGGAAGATCAGATGAACCTCGGCTGATACGTACTCTGATCTGACGGCGCGTAGAATGGGGGCGCTTATTGGGCAATAAAGACACATTCGAAGGGGGCCCTAGAGGGCGCTTATTCGGGCGCTAACCTGAATAAAGAATAGTGACCCTGTGACCGGATAATGACGTCATCTGGTGATGGTCACGTGGTATGTACATCGAAGGCCTTCTTGGTGTTGGTGACTTGGCTCTTTTCAATTTAGGAAGCAATTTTTTTTGTTTTTGTGTAGTTTTTTCATATTATGGGCTTATGACCAGAAGGTAAGAGTTTTGAAAAATGCTGTGTTTCGTTTCTGCAACGATCTGTTTGAATTAGCGCTCAATAATGAAGTTGAGTATGGGTAGCCATGTTGTTACGAGGTCATGTTAACTTCGGAAACTAACTATAATAGTGGGAGATGTTTAAATTTATAGCCGGCAATAAGCTAACGCTTAGAGTGAGGTTTTTAAATCGTTCTTCTTTGAGCCGTTTACTATTTTACTAAAAGTTTGATTAAACGTTTTCTAACTTTGAAAAGGGAAATGCAGTGAGGTAAGAGTACGTAGCATTCAATATGTTTAGATTTCATGGCAAGTTTACATATTTCGTTGTTACTCACCTAGGATATGATAAATATAACGAACGATCCTTCAAAATTTTATCTCTCCGTGGTGTGATAAAAAGAATTAGTAGTTATAGTGATGGTGAACTTATAATAGCTGTTAAATATCCTTTAGGGCTTCAGATGGCCTAGATGCCAGTTCAAGCCGATGGGAACAACTAGATCATAATCGTGATTTGCAAGTTTCATCCGTAAGGTAATTAACGATTGCTTAGATTTCCTCATTTTTACAGTACAGTATAACTTCCAGAGCAAGGAACTTTCTACCAACTTGAGAATTTGATCCGGTACAATAACATGAGGAAGTACACATAGAAAATATTTAGATGAAACCTCTTTGAATGTTGACGTGATGATACATGCAGACACCAGTTTGATAGTTTGTCGTCGTTCTCGAGTTTAAAGTTACCACTGCTTGGTATTATTCGAAATGTTCAAAATACCGAGTCAGTTTTGATAATCACTGTGATAGGAACGTTGAAATATTCTTTTCCTACCAAGTATATTTCAATCGCCATGGTTGCGTCGTGTTACTTCCTTGTCTGTTAAACATTCGTAATAGTTTATCATCCTGCTCAATATTAATATTCTGTCACTTTGCTTTTTCCTAATTCTCTATACATAGTTATACCTATAACAACAGTAACTCTTTAATGGCTTGAAACAAGGTTAATGTTCATTTACTTCTACAGTAAAGTAAAAGTCAGGGACATCTAGTGCTTGTCACATTTCTGATCAGTGTATTAATATCTATAAGGTTATCCATAAATCATACACTTAACTATAAACATACTACTGTTACCTTTGAAATATTGATAAAAAGTGTGTATGCTGATTGACTCATTCATTATACCGTTGTGCATAGGCTTGGAGTTTGTGTTGGGTGTCTGTAACTCATTTTATAAAATTGCTTTCAAGCGGCAAATTTTCATGCCTTGATGATTCTCAGCTTATCACACCCATTGTATAAAAGAAGTCAGCGACCTTTGGAAATTTGAGTGAGTGAATGAAAAGGTTTAAAAATGCAAGTTGTGGGTTGGAGTAAACCAGATAGAACATTATAACGAAAATTTTCTTGCACAGGATTGTCAGCTGGTGACAATTTTCTGTGTCTGTGATAGTGAGTAAGACAGATAATTATGACATTTGTGCTTGTAAACCAATAAAATACAATTGCCTTTTGGAGTTAGTGAGCTAAAATATAAAGTGGTTACATTTTTCAATGATATTGTTATAATGTGTAGTTCCAGAAAATATCTGTAAGCCCCCTCCCCCCACCTCACGGAATGGATTTTTTCTAAGATCTCCCACCCCTCTGAAAATTCCAGTTAAGCTTCTTACATTTCTTTAAATGATTTGGTCTTACAGAATCCCCTTCCCCCAGGAAATTCTAATCCCTTCTGTAGGGGGAGTGTGGATATTTTCTGGAACTGCACAATTGAACAAAATACAAGAGCTGTCCTTGGTTAATTCTACAAGCAAAAAAAGAAGGTACAAACCATACATTAGATGCCTTTTACACTGGTCAGCAATTTGATGTTACTAAGGGATTACTTGTAAAGTTTTTGTGCTTGACTGTCAGCAAACATTGATGGGGAATTGTTACCAGTTAGTGCACTCCTGTTTTTCTGTGCTTCAAAGACTTCATGTGCATTGCTCGAAATTAGCGGTTGCCCAGTTGTAGAGCTCAGTCAGGCATTTTGTTACTTACAGATTTGGGTGGCCTGTTAGACAGATTAACAGGGTTTCAATATACATGTACTGATATTTAGTTAGTACCGTAATGATTCGATTTAGTGCCCGGGGTGCTTATTTGCTTTCGTTACCTCAAGGGAGGGTGCTTATTTGAGACAGGGTGCTTATTCGGGGCAGGGCGCTCATTTCTTTTTTGCAAAATAATCAAATGTTCAAAACAAAACTCGAAAATGAGGTCATTCGTTTGACGAAATATGCACTAACATGGACCTAACAGTTAAGAAATTCAGACGAAAACCACTGTTTTTGTAATGCAGCATTACGTATGTGAGCAATTAAGGAAGATGAACCTCTGTTGATACATTCTCTGATGGTGCTGTAATATTATAATGTTAGAATAGGAGCAGTTATTATGATGGGGGCGATTATTGGAATAGGGGCGCTTATTAATAAAAACACATTCGAAGGGGGGCGCTTATTCAAAAGGGGCGCTTATTGGAAGGAAGGCACTAAATCAAATCATTATCATAAATGGTATATTCCACACAAATTAATCGTGGTTTTCATGGGCGCGATCCGTTCAACCAAATCTGCTGGAAATTTTGGTCTAAAACTGAATGGATGGGTTTGGTCCAACCGAAAAAGTTTCAAAAAAGCCAGTCCACCTTTTGAGGTGGACCATTTTTCTCACATGATGGGTTATTTTGAGAAAACTGTTCCCAGATATTTGTCGGTTGAGTTCAAACACCATGTTTGAATGAAAAAAAGAACATCAAAATTCTCTCAGGAAATAAACCATTTTTAAACAGCAAAACCTCGAACTCAACTGGGAACGGTGTGCTCAAAATAACCTGTTATCTGAGATAAATTTCTATGGATAAAACACCTTGTACAATATCATTAATTAAGATGAAATTGTCCTCTAACTCTAACACAAGCAACAGTCATCCACCAACCGCCATTTTAAGTAAGAGTGCAGAACTCTTTTTGCAAGTGGAATGGAACAAGACCGTCTGTACGTGTCGTGATCCATTCACCCCCAAGAAATTTTTGAACCTGACAGCTTGGAAATTTTGGTTGAATAGATTGGGCCCCATAAATTCTAATAGGTTAACTCAGAGATGAATACCCCAAGCAGAAGCAAAATGACTTCCTGGCCATTTCATTTCCAGGTTAAATAATTTTTGGTCTGCTTATTATTCAGCTTGTAAGGTGAATATAATTAATGTAACTTCAATTGTAATTTTTATTCTTTTTTAGGGGAGTTTTATTAATAGGGTTAACCTACATGCATAAACTCCCTTTTCAAATTTATGTACATTTTTTGTAAATATTGTGAATTTGAATTAAACATGTATGTAATATGTAAACAATAATTATTCACCTCAATGTCTGTGAAAGTGGTGGATATTTATCTCCTTTGTTGAATAATTGTTAACTATCACATCATTAAATGACATTTTCATTCATTTTGATGCTTTCCTTAGATTTTCCCCAGAATTGTCATGGTTGACTCCCCTACTCAACCAAGTTCTGCAAGGTAACACATATGTAGTGGAACCCAGCTCTATGGACATTTACTTGATACAGACACACACTTAGCACAGAAAATTTAGCAGTAAACATCTTCTGGTTACTGTCAATTTGTGTGCTTTGGTCTTTGTAACCTTTCTTCCTTAGGTGTCTTAACTGGGTTGAGTAGTTGTATGGAAATTTTTGCATTTATTTACACTTACCAAAGGCCAAGTAGGTTGAGTTGTTCGTGTGCAGGGATGGTTGACTGAATGAATGATTGAATGAATGGTGAATAATCTAAATAACCTGACTAGCAATCAAGCAAAGATCACAAGCAGTTGACCAACAGGCTGGATTGACTGGTTGACCAACCAACCCATACATATATTACAGAATGAATGTTCAAAGAAAATGTAGATGCTATGATGATAATATTAAACTTACTGTACATTTTTAACTTTTGTAATTATGTGTTTCTTTTTGCTCATTTTACAGCCAGCTATCACAACTGAAATTCACAAGTAAGTGCCGGGTACACGTGTCTGAAACCCACTTTCTCAATGCTTTAATCGTGTTATTCTCTTACTCAGCTGTTATATTTTTTGAACATTGTTTTTTTTTCTGTAGTCCTTAAAGCCTCGCTTAAAGAACAGTCAGGATGGTTCAGTAAGTGCAATGCTTTATGCTTAACTCCTTAAATTTTGTGCCATAGTGTGAAATGACACAAACACAGTGGAACCCTGTTAATACGGTCACCAATGAGCCATGAAAATTTGACCGTATTAATGGGGTAGGGTCAAACCCCATGGCTGGTCTGAGTTGAAAGTGACGTCTTAACAGATATATCACAATTGCACTTCCACACAACTGTTCTTTAATGAGCATCGTGAATGCAGATATAATTTTAAAAACATCGAAACTTGAATCCATTGATAAAATATTAACAATGGAAAGATGAACATAACTGGTTTGAGTGGCTGTATAAATGGGGTAATATTATAAAGGATTATACAGGCTTGGATTTCAGAATGTGGCCATTAGCTGTATTAACGGAATGGCCGCATTAATGGGGTTTTATTGTAGAAAATGTATCGGCATTTCACCGGGACAAAAAAGGGGGCCTTAACAACAAGGTGACCTTATTAACAAGGCGACCATAAGATGGAGCTCCGCTGTAAAAGTCATGTAAGATGTTATATTACAAATTTTGTGGATGAGCTACTCTTCAAATAGACTAAAAACCAACTGCTAAAAATCAGCCTGGAGGTAGCTTGATTCCTTACACTGCTTGTGACGTTATTACCTTTTCTACCAGAAGATATCTTTGGTCATCAGTTGATTAACTGGGGAAAGTCTTTTAATTCATGAATTTGGCAAGTGGTAGAGCCAAATAAGCCTACAGTTTTTCTTTCCAAACTGGACACTTTCCTTAACTTTCTGTTGGACAGCTGAAAGGCCAACAAAACCTGAAAAGAAAGAAAAAGAAGGAGAACCCCCACCCCTCCCCCCCCCAAAAAAATGAAACCATGGAAAGACTAAAGGGATGCATCATGAAAAACACAGTTAACTATAATAGCCTTCTGGCAGTGAGAGGTCTGGTCTCACAGTTAATTATAAGATGATGTGAGGAAACTGCTTGTTATAAGTAGCCTTTCAAAAGTATTGCCATTTGAGAAAATGGTAAATAGTTTTATAATACACAGTAGCTGATTTTAAGTATTTGAATTAGTTTAGCTGTCATCTAATTTAATGAGTGCACTGATTTTGAATGTTATTGTAAGCCACGCCTATATTTTGTAAGCTTACTGATTTAACTATTTCTTAATATTCATAATTTTTGGTAAGCACATTAAAAACCGTTAAATGTGTTCAAAAAATTATATTTTTATCATTATAATAGCGAAAGGAGACCCTTATGTCAAACTTGTTGTTGATGGAAAACAGCCGTCAAAGAAAACAGAGGCAGCTCGTAAGACATGGGAACCAGTGTGGGACGAGGAGTTTACGATGTAAGCAACACAATTAGTAATATACATGTATCTTAATTTGATTGATAGAAACAATGATCAGAATCACGTTTAGAATCACAATGTAATGCTCAAGCAATATTTAGACTTGTACCATGAGTTTATCAAATAACTTTGACATAATCTTCTTCTTCAAAAACATGACCTGTACTAACTGTTACTCTTTTCTGAAAGGAGGAATTATGAAGTATGTGCAATGTAGATTTCATTTTATTTTGCAGAATGTATGTTTATTTTTCTTACACTTTGCAACAAATATACAATGCATATTATAGTTGTCAAAGAATGTTCCATTTTAATTATGTTTTATATTTGTTTTTGCATTGTCCACCGACCCAGCTACAGTGTAAGCTCTCATAACCAACACTCTTGAAGCAGACTACTCTACATGTACAACCGCCTTCACAAAATCCTGTTTGAACTCCCATACAAACTGTGTTTATTCATTCCCATAAACGGACATTCCGGTAAACAGTCGCAGACACTTTGAGGGTTTATAATTTAGACTTTTCCTTTGTTTTTAAGCTCCCATAAGCAGCCATCTGAAAGGAAATCTCATGTATATTACATAGTACTGCAGTAAGTACTGCAGTTAGAATCTGTATATTGCATAATACACCAGTTTTCTATACACAGTTATCGCCATTATCAAAATGAAAAAAATTAATTTGGAACGGGGTACATTGTACTTTTTGCATTCCCAATGTTTATTGTTAGCTGGGCAAGTTACCGTAAGTGGCCATATACACCTTACAGTTCTAGTGGCCACTAACAAAACCATTCTCGTAAGCACCAGCTCCAGCTAGGGACACCTTTTTTGCATGGCAAAGGTGTCTGCTTACGAGAGCTTCCACTATATTGTTCCTAGAATTAACCGGCATTCAAAAATTTTAAAATTATAATTACTTGCAGTGGACATTTCCTGTGCTTTCTCACACTTTTCTATGGTCTTTGCAGCCTGGTGACACCATATAGTGTTATGGATCTGGAAGTTAATAATAAATTTTCTCTCAAGAGCGATGTCCCATTGGGATGTGCAAAGATTCAACTGAATGATGTCCTGCATTCAAGCCATGGCAAATGTAAGTTATGTATTTTGGTTTAGAATACAGTTTGATATTTACAGTTTTACAGCAGTACTTTAAGGTCCTGCATGACCCTTGTGCATTTAATATATTCAAGAGCCAACTGAGTAGGTAGGATGATATATGGACTTTGAAAGTGGATTCTGTGAAAACTTAACAAGGGTACTGAAGCAGGATTATCACAGGAAGTAAATCAAAAAGGGAAAAAACCTTTGTTTGAATAAGTTTTTGGGAGTTTCCAATTTAGTATGAAAAACAGGAATTGGAAGCCAGGTGAGCAAAGTTGAACCTCTTTATTCTTACTAAACTGAATGTGTTACTTTTTGTTGGTGGTGGCACAGTGAACAATCATAATTTAAAAGTGAATATTATCCTGGACAAGAATGGCACTCCTTGTCAGACAGGAGTCCTGGAGGTTGTACTTGATGGGATGAGTGTGAATATGAGACACTTTCCTCGAAGGCCACCTTCACTAACACCAACTCCTCAACCTAATGGACCAGTGGCTGCAGCCCCTCGCACAACAAATGGCAACACACCATCCCGACAGTCACAGCAGTAAGAAATTTTTCCCTTCTAGTATACCTCAATTTCTCCCAGAAATACAAATTTGCTTTTTTAATCACTGGCTAGGAAATGTTATGTTCTTTTCGTGGTCATGTGTTCCCCCTTGCTAAGGCTGCTGAATTCACAGCAAATGATCATGGCCATGTGACCTAATATCTCTGAGCATCTGCTCACTGAATTTTTTCGCCACATTATGGCGTTTAGCTTGTTGCAATTCATTTTCTTGGTAATTTACGGCCAGTACGTAATACGCACAAACATGAGAGAGTGCAAAGCGGTCATCTGAGGTATGTTGTATACTGATACCTTAATTGACTGCCTTGCAACATTAACTTTTAAACATAATTCCTTGTACCAAGTTTACAAACTGAAAGCTACTCCTGAATACTCGGTTATAAGGTGCCTACTGAATTAAGAAGACGCCATTGACAAAGAATTCAAGATGGAAAGCAAAGGGGAGGATCAGTAGTAGCTGAGCTGAGCAGGGCTGATAAATACAATGGTTCTTTTCAGAAGTTTTTGAGTCCTTTGACAGGTTTAATCATTAGGGAAATTTGGCAAAGTTATACTTTGTGGCGTGAACATATTCAGCCATACGACATACCCTGTGTGCAGAACAGATTTTGATTGAACAGGTATATTTTCTTTGAAAAATGTGTGCACCTTATAACCAAAAAATATGGTGGCTTTTTATGAGCTTTATCAACCAAGTGAATCAGTTCGCTGGTGTGCTTGTTACTGGACACAGGTAGTTTTGTATTACAGGAGGCCAAATGATGGGGATGTACAAAGACGGCACAGTAGACAAACATCAGCAAGACAGAGACCTGTCAGCACTGGAGCATTAGCTACTACTACAGCAGCAGCAGCTGCTAATACGTCTCAAAATTCCTCTCCTGGCATTAATACCAGAAGTAATGTTTCTGCCTCCACTCCATCAGTTCCTCCTCCACCACCTCATGGACAGCCACCCCAACAAGGTGCAGTTACTGATCCAATGATATCATAACCAGTGTTAAGCAATTATAATTCATTGATCACTGTTCAAACATTAAGTCCTTGTCAGTGGACCAAACTTAAATGTGACCGTGAACGGGAAAACGTACCTTAACGCTTATCCGTTAGACAGGCTAAAGCGTTAAGTATCCGTTAGTCATCCGTTAGAAAGTTTTCTTAAAAACGTTAGAGGCGTTAGCCCAACCGTTAGACGTTAGCATCAGGCCGTTAGAACAGGGTGTGCAACCGTTAGCAAGAGACATGTATCCGTTNCCCCCTGCCTGGGTTTAAAACATCGGCTGTTTAAGGCTGTTTTACAGTCGCTTGCACTGTTTCAAGATAGTTTTGAATTCCTGACACAAGTACCCAATATCTTAAGGCTGCCACACACTAGCCGATTTTTTGTTGGCTGACAAAAAATCTGCGCTTGTTGGCGTAGTGTGTGGGGAATTCAGACAAGTCTGCGACAAGATCCAGGCTTGTCGGGCAATATCTGACAGTGCTAGATCTCAGAACATTTTGTCGGGCCTTGTCAGCTAGTGTGCTAGTGCTTGCGTGCGCCTCGACCAATTAGGAAATGTCATAACAGTCACGTCAGTGGAATTGGCGCCATCTTGATTTTGGATGACTAGGCCCCGAGTGTCAACGCGGTTAGTCATGACAAAAAATCGGCTAGCGTGCAGCAAGCTGATGGCCCAGCAAATTTTAACCCAATTTGACCCCAACAAAAAATCAGCCAGTGTGTGGCAGCCTTTACGTACTGTAGAAATGCTCTACATTGAATGAATCTTCCAACAAATGTTCTTATAAGTAGAAGCTACCTGTAATTATATAAACAGCTCATTTCGCGAAGGTGCCCACTCATAGAGGTTTAACCATACTCGATTGCTGAAAAAGAAGGCATTGAAATTCTGCATTGAAATTCTAAGATGAGAAACGTTATTAAAGAGAGAAAAAAAATCACTGATACTGGTTGGGAAAACAAAGAATGAAAAAAATGAGAGGAATGGAAATAAAAATTTTCATGTGCTCTTGTGATCAGACAAGAAGCAGTACTTTCTTTATAATGGTCATTTGCATGAGGAGAACTCGGTCTCTCAGACCGATAACTTCATGAATGTTTTCAACAGTGTTACATCTCCTTGTGTACTCTCTTACCATTACGTTTTGCACTATTTCTTAACAATGCCAGTGGGCTTTAACTTTAACCTAACCTATGGATGAAAACCTCAAGTCAGTGGCATCAAAATTGTCACTGTTTACAGACGATCCATTTTCCAGGTTGAGTGGCTCATAGCCACTTTGATGAATTTTCTGTCTCAACCTTTCTTTGCTTCACATGTGTTTATGAAGGGCGCTTAACATTGTGTTATTAGGAAGAATAAATAGAGTGGAGCCATTGGACTGTGCTGTGGCAAAGTTTTAGAGCTCAAAAGTCTGCATGGTTTCCGCTGTTTTCATTGTTTGTGGGATTAAAATTGCAGGTTCCCTGGAAACTAATATTTGGCAGACATATTTGGCATACAGAAAATCAGCTCCACAGTATCAGACAAATTTATTTATCCCTTCTCTCTGAACGCATGCCTGTCATAGTGCATTCCGAAGCCATGATTCTGTGTCAAATGACAAGGTTTTATTGCAACGAGCTGTCAACAAGAGCATCGTCAGGGAGTTTCAAAGAAACATGATACTGTTTTAAACACAGCATGGCGTCTTATTTTTCCTGCTAAATAAATCTTAGAAACAAAAATCTGTTTGCCGATATCACAGCAGGTTTTACTTCTCTCTGCCTGGAATTTTGCATGCGAGTTCTGGTCGACATTACCTTTGAGCTGTAAAAAAATTGTGGTAATCAAAAATAGTCATTTTAGCCTCCAGGAATACCTTAAGCAGAACTGTGGCATGAATGTTTTGTTAAGTTACCTAGTGTAGATGTAGTTGACTAGTTTGTCTAGTTGTTTGTCATGTATTGTTTTGTTACTGAAGTAATCTGGTAACAACCGATCCACTTAGATTAGCCCAATGCTACCAGCAGATCGGTTTACATTATTTTGGATCAATTTTGAACTTCAACTGAAATAAAGTGTGTACCTGTAAAATGTGGAAAAGTGTGTCGCAGCCCAGGTAATTAAGTTGATAACAGAAAAATGCAAATTAAATAAAAATGTAAAAATATCTTAATGCCACATTTAGAGGCACTCTGATGATTGCTACAATTGACTTCTTACTGTGCAGAGTAGGTTTTCAAAGTGAGCTGAAACAACTGAGTGTTAATAATGAAATGAAATGAGATATCCCTTTCTTTTGAGACTTATAGGACTAATAGGTGTACTATGCACGTAGTATGTACTTAAAATAAAACCTGACTGGTACTTCTTACATGTAGGTTTTATTTAGGTATTTTCATCACTGTATAAGGCTTCTGGCTGTTGAATGAGATGTTAACAGAACACTCTTGTTTTCAGCTGGGAACAGTACTAATACTTCCTCCACAAGGCAGAGAGCAGGGAATGAGGAACCACTGCCTCCTGGGTAGGTTATTGTTATTACAAGAAAATTGACCAGATAACCACTTTAAGTACTGGAGATATATTTTTTGTTTATGAACTATTTCAAAGCAAACAAAAACAAAATAGGTCTGCAATGCGTACTTGTGTGAGATTTCATTGACAAGGTAGTTGCAAGGGGTTTTGAGCAGAAGCAAAACTGTGGCTCGCTCAGAGTCAACAATACTACAGGGGTGAAATTATGCCTGGAATCAGTCAGTCTGGATAGTAATTTTTGTGCAGGAATTATTAAACAAATACAGATCAACAGAAGGGATCTGGGGTATTAACTTATACATGTATCAAGCAATATGCCTTTTCTTTCCTCCTTGGAAGCTTTTTGGCATGTTGTTGAACGTTTAGTCATCGTTTTCAACAGATAAATTACTTTTTGGTGGCTTAGGCTATTTATTTGCTTGTACGGCAATACTGGAAATACTTGGAGCAGTAAATGTTTTCGTAACAGTCATTGAACAAGAAATTAAAAAAAACTTTCGGCTTCTACTTTTTACACATGGTCTCATTTGCAGTCGTTGGTTTTAGCCTTGTCACTCACCACTCCATGCCACCCTCCTAAAGATCACAAACGTAAAATTTTGTTAGTATGTTACCTTTTTTGAACAGCATTTGTTAAGCACATATAAAAAATACATTTTTTTGTTATTGTGAAAAGTGCGCAAGCCAAATACTTACATGTATTGTTCTTTTCGCCCCCCCTCCCTCCTACCCCCAAAGGGGGAGACATTTTTTAAGGGATTGTTCTGAGCTCCCCAAAATACAAGCCAAAAAAAAAACTTGAAAAGAGCACTAGTGCTAAATTTGGCATGTCTTAAACAAGTTACGTGACTGAAATTGTAAGTTACACAATGGTGTACTGAACCGTGACTCAAATGATCAGCCTTGCCCTGTTTACGTCAATCACTTCTGTGTACTGAGACAATTTCCAGCAAATGAACAAAGACAAGGTTTTGTGGATGATCAAAAGTTGCATTGATCTGTAGCCAGAGGTTGGCTAACACCATTGTTTTGACAGGCGTGAATAATCCAATTTAGATCAAATGTGGCAGCACGAAACAAAGACATAAAGGTATATTATGTAATTACAGAGAAAGCAAATGTGGGCAGCAACATCAACGGAAAGAAAGCTTGCCAGATCAGTGAAACGGCTTTTGCGCCAACTCAAAAAAGGGTTACTCACCAATATATAAAGCTTCTCAGGAGTTGGTAACGTACTAGTTCGGAATAATTTCATGTTAGTTTTGGGAGCATCATTCTAAAGCCATGACATGAAGAATGTACTGCAAAAGCTGTTTGCAAAAATCAAAACTTTTGCTGTAATTTAAGTTTAGGCCGGACACGCTGAATCTCGTATCGTTCTGTTGTCAATGCGAAATTTTAGATTACGTGGAAGTCACGCACATGGTTGTTTGCTCACTTCATTAATATGTTTGTCTGTTCATTGTTTTTTTTTTCTTTGTATCTTCGAGTATTTCAGGATGGTCGTGATTTAAATGCAATTTGTGCAAGTTCTTGAATATCACATTTCGTTCATGGCTTTGTAGTAGCTTTCTTCCCATGCGAATTAAGATTATTATTTATTTAGTGTTGAGAGTTATTAAACTTACTTTCGCCGTGGTCACTGTATGTAATATTTATCTATAGCGCTCGCATTTCGCTTTAAAATGTACCAAGTACGACCCATCCATCAACGAGTTTATGATATCCCCTCCTTATTGCTAACAAGGTCAGTGAAAGAGAATTGTTTTCAAACTCAAATGTTTATTTAGTTTAGCTGAAGAAGCAACATAAGTGAAATGACGTTCTTTTTATCGCAAGGTTGAAATGGACAATTTTTAAGTTCTAAAACTTGTCTATACTGTAACAACACTACACTGGAACACTTTCCAAATCAGGTTGACAATCACTGATTAAAAAACCTTTGATTTCAAAAGGAACAACCCCTACTTCTGAGCAAGACATTTGTAAATATGATACAAGGGTTTCAAGGCCTTCAATGCTCAGCAAAGTTACCACTTCCCAAATGAATGGGGCATTCCATAAATATCTTTTGAACGAGAGTCAAAAATCGTAGAGCTTTGTTCAGAATTTTTAAACAATGCAACTGTATTGATGCCAACAGTTAACAAACAACAACTGTGGTTTAGTTTAGAATTTGGAAATACTTCCGTCAGTGAATTTTGAAGAGAGGTGTACACCATTATTTGATGTCATGAACAAACTTCCAGTTAATGACTCACTGTATTGTAATGTATACACTTTGTTGTAAAAGTGAAACAACACATGGAACATCAATTAACAGCAAATAATCATTTGCCTACACAGAATATCTTATAGAAACACATAGATTATTTCCAATGGTCAAAATATCATTCATTGTGGTAGAAGATCATTCACTGATATGTTCTATTTGATGATAAATAATAGCAGTAACTGACATTGCTACACATTGCTTACCAGCATTTTCACCAAAGAGTGCTTCATTTCCTTGACTGTAGTCAGCAGACACTGTTCTCATTGGGTCAATGACATCAAATATCGTAGGACCCGGATTTTCCTCCACATCATTTGCCTGTCTTATAAGCAATGAAATATATACCAGTACATTGTAGTACATCATTTGTGTAAACCAAAACACTGCTTGATTCCACATCTTGTATTGTCCAATAACTAGCTTCAATGTTGGCAAATAAAACACACTTAATTAAAACATCATGAGCATTATATTCCAAAAAACGATCCTTAAAATGCGCTCAAGGCATCTTTTGTTTTCTTGAAATTGTCATGAAAGGCGATCCTTGAATCAAATTATTGAATGGAGATCCCCATATTTTCTTCTGATCGAGTCAAAAAGCACTGGAAACTACGTTTAAAGTTGAAGTACAGTGCAAAGTAATAGTTTCTCTAAGTTTCAGACACCTGAGAGGCAGTCTGAGACAATTTGAGACTCTGTCGTGCAACCCGCACAAATCAGTTCAAGAAGACAAATATTAGCTTACGAGAGTACAATGACTCCTTGCAATATAGCTGGCACAACTCACTTAATACAATAAACAAAATGTCCTTACCCTGTAAATTAATCGCACCAAGAAAACAAGTCAAAATTTGCCAAATTACAACTAGATTCTCGTAGGAAAACTTCTTTGAATGAAGAAAAAATCAGCTGCTATGCCATTTGGGAGTAAAGTGCTACCAAGTCAGTTGTTAGTTCAAACTCATTTTTAACATGACATGAATTTACGTGTCAAATTTTCCACGGTCATTTTTAGGAAAATTAAATCTCAGAGCCTTAATCATTCATTACCTAGCAGCTTTGATCCTGACCTAGTAAATACCCCCTAAATAATGTATGATAAAATAGCGTACATGCACGTCATGTGACAAAATCAATGTTTACGATTGTTTGTGAAAAAATACGCCGCCTTGCATCTTCATCTATAATATAACTATGAATAGCTGCTGCTAAATTTTATAATAGTACTTAGGGGATAAAAATAAATGACTTAAGTCTTGTTTTTTATGGATATGGAATTTCCACGGTGTTGTGGTACCCAGTCGAAAAATCATGGAAATTCCAGTGGATAGGGGGGAGTACCATGAAGCCCCCTGGAAAATCCTGGGGGGAGGGGTCAAACTGGAAAAAAAACTTTCTGTGGGGGGTCTGGATATTTTCCAGAACCACTCATTGAATGTTTTATTGTATAAGGTTTAATTCAAAAGGGAAAGTGAAGAGAATTAGTTCATCTAAGCTCCGTATTATTAATTTACATTATTTTTGCATATTAAATTAATTTAATTACCTTTTTAAATAAATAATTTTGGGCTAGCTCCTCAGAGAGTTGGGCTAGTGAGATGAAATTACAGCTTGGGTGAAGGGCAAGCAGAGTTTTTGAATTTCATCTCACCCTGCCTCCCCCTTTGAATTTCCATTAACCTTCCTTGGGGTGGGTATGGATATTTTCTGGAACTATACAATCTGAAATTGTCTCATTAGTTAACCATGGTAACATGCCACCATTTATGTGTAAATGCAAGAGAAGTGATAAGTGATAAATGCTTAGAGGTGTAACATTCTATGAAAACTTCTACGGCTATTTGAGCTTCATAAAATGGGCTGGGTATAATGCTACCATTTCTCCAAAAGAGATAGCAATTATTTTTCAATGTATGAAGGTCTCTTGTTTCAGTTTGTTTTAGTATTTTGACCTCTTCAATGAAATATATTTCACTGAAATGGATTCATCTCACGCATCATTGGTTTCAGCAGCAGATTCAAAAAAGTGATCATGTGATAACACACATCTCTTGGCTACAGTTTGCAGCACAGCAGTTGTAAATTCCTCAAAAGTAGAAAGTTCAAGGCAAATTTTATCCATGCCATGGATTTTGCATAAGTCAAACTCTTCTCTGTATCTTGAATGGTATCTTGATAGAAAGTTCAAAACTCAACAAACTTGCAAACAAATTGTGAAGCAGATTCCCTGAAGACAAGAGATTTACTCATCACACAATCATGAAATTTGTCATCACATGATTACTTTTTTGAATCTGTGAATGAAACTAATGGTGTGTGCAACAGTTTGAAAAAAAGCCATTTTAACAGACATCTAGGATAATTAGTAGCGTGATAGATGTTTGACTCAAGGTTTCCAATTTGATTGGAAGGTGAATGCTGTTCTTCATCTTGGTTGTGTAATATATTCTATGCTGAGGGCTTACAAAGCATGCAAATCATTCAGCAGTTATTTCCTTGTGACCCTTGTTTGTCTCAGATAGGATTATATGAATTATGGAATACAGACTAATTAAAAGTTAATTTGGCTGCAAGTCATCTTGTGTTGTGGGAGGTTTCTAGCATTGTTTGTTTCCTGTTCTTTGATTGCATTGTTTTCTTAGTTACATTGTGCATCATCCCTCACTGAAAGTCAATTTGGCTGCAAGTCATCTTGTGTTGTGGGAGGTTTCTAGTATTGTTTGGTTTCTGTTCTTTGATTGCATTGTTTTCTTAGTTACATCACGCATCGTCCCTCCATCCTGTGCATTTCTCACTAGATATGGCACATTTTTCTCAATACAGTGAACAGACTAAAATGAGATTGTTTTCTTCAATATGCACCTTCTCTCAGTTTGACTTATATCATCAAACCCCAGCTGAGGCCATTTTTGTTTCCATGGCAAGTGAAAAATACCAAATAATGACAATAATAGCAGTAACAACTGCATCACTAAATGGAGGCTGGGTGACATTCAGGAGCTTCCACTATTGGCGGCCAGCTCCTAGATGGAGACCCCTCTCATGGCTGGCACCCATCACACTGAATTAACAGTGGAAAGAGGGAGGGAAGGGAGGGGGAATGCTCAAAGACATGCTCCCATGCAAGACAACATTCACTGTAAACACTACCGCTGTGAAGGCTGCCAACAGGTCTCAGTCCAAGAGCATGTGGAATTCTGGTGCATGCACATATCAAAAACACCACTGACTACCACAGGAACACAGGGGCTTCTTGTTGTTAACTCCTGTAAGTTGCATTTAACTGCATTAAACATGATACACAAATAATAGGGAAGTATACTAGGATTTACAATGGTGTATTAATTCTTAACCTGAATGACTTAATTTTGGCTATAAATTTTCCTTATAGTATTATTATTGCAAGAATAGCCATGAGAGCCAATCTACAAAAGCTCATCTTCCCTTCTTGAAGTGATGTGCCTGATTTGTTCTGTTTTAGGTGGGAGCAACGTGTGGACCCTCACAGCAGGATATACTATGTAGATCACAACACACGTACAACTGCATGGGAAAGGCCTCAGCCTCTGCCACCAGGGTTAGTATAACTCACTTTCCTCTATTCTCCAGTGCTGTATTGATTACATGAATTGAAGAATAAAACCTCAGCTTCTCTGTCTTCATTATGTGGTAATGAATAGAACAGATCACTTTGCTCCTATGATGGCACAGGAGCAAATTGATGTCTCGTGAGCCTCCTGTTTGTAACCTAAGGTTGTACTCCTCTTATGAAATTGACACAGAATGGATGTAAAGAAGCAAAGTTAAAAAAAACTCTCATCTTGAATGAAACAAAAATATACAATCACTCTTCAGGTGGGAACGGAGAACAGACTCGCGAGGAAGAACATATTATGTTGATCACAACACTAGAACAACTACGTGGCAACGACCAACGGCAGAAACAGTCCGAAATTTTGAAAACTGGCAGATGCAGAATAGAGCTTTGCTTAACACTGAGCGGCAGAACTTCCAGCAGAGGTTTCTCCTCCCAGTAAGTGTCAATAGCGTTTATTTTTTCAGAAGCTCTGTTTCCCAAAGTTCCTTAGAAATGGATATTGCTAAAAGTTCTGAGTTGGCATTCTGCTAGTACAGGGACTGGGAAGGCAAAATGGGCAAATGAGCCTATGGCCCATGGCATTGGAAAGTTATGGACCATTTATAAAAAGGTTTGGGCCATTAGGGTAAATAAATGGGCCATTAAAAGATTTTGACAAGCGATACGTAATTCTTGATTGCTGTTGTTTTATACTTTTTACTGGACTTCGAGCTAAGTTAAAGTGTACAGTCACAGAATAAATTATAGCCAAGACAATTTAAATAACCTTCCATTGAGGTTACACTAAACATTCTGAACTGGAACTGATTATACTTAACACACAGAGTAGTCAACATCAACATTACTGAGGCATGCTCCATTTTAGATTTGGAGTGACAAGTAACATTGCATTTACAATTTAAAACTTGAGCCATGCATGAACTTTACATAACACACCTGTTGCTCTCTAATAGTTAATGAAACGCTAACCAATATTTTTTTGTTCCTTGGAACTAGAAGGCTTCGTCTTGATCGTTGTTTTCAGGATCACAATAGGCTGATTTAGCAACAGGACAGGAACGTCAAATGATGACTGCAGGGCATGCGGAATAACCTGGATTCTGTTCGAATTTGACCATATTTGGGTATTTGTACTGCGCACGCTGTCATCAAGTGACGTTCCCGTTCTCTTGCTAAATCAGCCTATTTTGTTGTGGCGGACTTGGTGTTCATAGTGCAAAATGGCCCCAATCTGAGTCTTTTCTGATTTAGGAACTTTTGGAGGCATATTATTTGGCTAATAACAGCATGCAAAACATATTCAAATCAGTGAATTCTATCATTAAAAACAGAAATTACTTGGAAGAACCTCAAGAACCTCAACCTTACTTACAAGAACCTTGTTTGTGAGCAGAGTCCGAGTAAGGGGTCTGGGGGTGAAAACAAAACGAATGTTTTTTTATAACGTTGATTAAAGAGCAAAGGCATCGTGATTTCTCGTGTGTTTATTTGTGATTACACTGAAAATTTCACAAATGGAAATCCTTTCAACAAAATAGTGTATATTTTATTAGCTGTTTTGCGGCTAGGGGCATCACAGGCGCGGTAGGTACTTTCATAATGCGTCGCTTCGTAGCTTTATGGGCCACATGCACATGGCGCACAGCCTTCCCCATCCCTGCTAGTAGCCTGAGACCACCAGTTGAATTTATCAAAGCTATGTATGGAATATTGTTTAAAAAAAGTGATGATAAAGTACCACTGTAAACAACCCATGCATAGCAGGGCTTGATTTTTAGGAAAAAACGTTGGGGCCAGCTGGCCCTTAAGTTTTCAGGTTTAGTCGCAAGCAAAAGTATTTCAGTGAAAAGCGCGAAAAGTTAGTGGCCAGTGAAAAAATTTTGTCCCATTGGTGATGCCGGTGATTGCAACATCGAGCTCTGACTAGGGCAAGGAACATTCACAAAGCCATTCAGTATGCTGAACATCTCTTTGTTCATGTCTCACAGACCGCCTCCGTACCCGAAACAGATCCCCTTGGACCCCTCCCGGCTGGCTGGGGTAAGTTCTATTTCCTGACTGAGCATGCAGTTTTACAAGTGCTAGACTGCTAACTTTTAGCTATTACCTTGTGTACACAGAGAGAAGACAGGAATCCAATGGACGAGTTTATTTTGTTAACCACAACACTAGAGCTACCCAATGGGAAGATCCCCGAACTCAAGTGTAAGGATATTTAAATATATTTTTGCTCTTTGGATTTCTGTGAATGCTTAGCAAGTAAAGGCACGATAAAAGCTAGTTTAGAAGATGGAATATGAATTTGCCTTTGACATTAGCACCCCAGTGAGGCTGGGCAAACATTGTGGTTTCATGTTAAGAGGAGAGCAGATCACTCTTGGCTTAGGAAATAATCGCCCTGAATGACACTGACATATAACTGAATTCAATAATAGTTTTTTTTTTCCAATTGATCACTGAGTTTGCTTTTGGATATTTTACTTTGTTGTTTGCTGATGAACCTGCTAACTTCAAGTACAATTCAAACTAGTGATGTTTTTGTTGACTATATCTAACTGCAGAGCACTTGGTTCTGACACACCACTCCCCAGTGGCTGGGAAATGAGATACACAAATGAAGGCATACCTTACTTTGTGGATCACAACACACGCACAACAACTTTCAGTGATCCAAGGACAGGTGTAGCTCTTGGGTAAGCACCCTTTATCATTAATTTTATCACCAACACTGGAATGCAGTAGTCGAGCTGTGCAGTCAGTTGTACACCTAAGTTGAGTTACATTTTCCTAATTCAGTTGCATCTCCATGCCCAGAAAATTTCATTCTGCTAAGTAACAAAATGTTGATAGTTTGCTACCTTGTAGTACAGTGTAGCTTCAAGGAAGATGAGGAGTTGTATTATGCTAGCTTGTCCTAGATTAGTTTGGGATGGATTGGAGAGAAGGAGGAGGTGGTGCAGGCACTGACTGCTTGTTTACACTATCCTTATCAAAAAGTCTACTTTTCTCTATCCATGGACTCCATGGAGTAATTTTGAAATAATTATTTGCTACGGCTTCAAGTAAAACTTATTGTACTTTCTGCTACACAGCATTAAAGGTGCTGCTGGTGGTCCTGCTTATGAAAGAAGCTTCAGATGGAAAGTTGGACAATTTAGACATCTTTGTCAGGTAGAGATTAGTGTTAACTTAGTTACAGTTTCCTTGTTTTTTAAAATTGAAATCTTATTCATTTCAAAATGTTTGATAACTTTGCATTCATTTGATGAACTTACATGTATTTGTGTAGCCACATTTTGCGGATTATTGAGCAAGTATACTGGGCTTGCTACTGGTTGCTTTGACGTCACCTGCAGATTAATCCCTTAAAATTGTCAGTGATACGCTCTTTTCTTTTCATAGATCACTTCCTTTGCTGACTTTCTCCATTTTGAGAAGAAACAAAAATCTCTAAATCTCCCAGATATTTCCCATTTCCTGTCCCCTTNTGATGCATGACGTGGTGTGTGAATTTGTATGCACAGTAAGGATGCGCAGAAACAATTAGTGCGAACATCCTTAAGCTTTAGATGACTGTGTGTTTTGTTCTGGTCATGTGACTTCCAAATAATGAAGAAAAAACTGCCAACTAAGAGTTATTTTTTTCTTCCTCTCACCACTCCCCTGTTCTGACCCCCATTTCTTTAGCCCATTTTATTCCTGCCAATTCTTCTCATTCCATGCTCATTTTTATAGTTACTTTTATTTACCACATGCTGTACATTTGTAAGTTTGTTATGCAATGGCCAGGATAGCCAAGACATTGCCAAACATCATGGCTTCTGCATGCATTGCATGCTCTTTAGTATTCTTTTGTTCAGTCTTCGGTATCTTTGATAGTCCTTTACAAACATGGAAGCCTTATTAGCTTCCCAGAGCTTCCTTTCCTTATACATTGATGTTATGTAAATATATTAAAAAAATATATTTATGGCAAAAAATACAGCAACATAATTATATCAAATGTCAATACTGTATTAGGGAAAAAAATCATTACCAGTAATTCAAATTCAATTGATCAACCATTTATTGGCTTTTATTTTGGGAAAAATAAGATGACTTGCCTAAATCTCACATCCTTAATTATGTATGTTAAGTTTAAGTTATAATTCACTGTTTGTGTTTGTATGTTCATCATATGTCAATACTGATCAGTGTTTGTGTTTGTAGCATCATATGTCAATCCTGATCATCTGCAGTACTTCAGGTTCATAGGACGTCTAATAGCAATGGTAAGTCTGTAGATGCATTACAAAGCCCCACAATGTAGGACCATCCACATGGCAGGCACTACCTGCAACCCAGTCCAAGTCCTCCCCGCACCCACAGAGAACCTAGGCAGCAGTCACAGTGGAACAAGAATTCCAATAAATAAATGATAACTAAATCTTAAAAAAAAATACCTTAGGGTAGGGGTGGAAGGGGAAAAACACAAGCAACAAACAGACACCTGACAGTTACAACACTAACACAAGGGCAAGCTGTAATACGAGCGTGATACAATGCAAGCCTGAGTGGCAGAGAACACTGATGTCCATTGCTTAGACCAAGAACAACTGATCACCCAAAGTGTTGATGTGTGCCCTGAAGGGCCAATAACTGTTGAAATTGTCTGTCTGTCTGTCTGTCTGCCTGCCTGCCTGTCTGTCTGTCTGCCTGTCTGTCTGTCAGTCTGTTTGTCTGTCTGACTGTCTGTCTGCTTTCAATGTTATTAGATGTTTTTATGTCCACAGCTGCTTTGGAACTCCTTGCAACTTTAAACTTATAGCTTATTCACTGTAGCTAGTAATGTTCTTCTTCTCATTGCAGGCTCTATATCATGGAAAGTTTATTGACAGAGGGTTCACGCTTCCTTTTTACAAGAGAATGTTAAACAAAAAGCAAACTATGAAAGACTTGGAATCTATTGATCCTGAGTTTTATAACTCTCTTGTTTGGATCAAGTGCGTATTGATACTAAGTTTTATTCTATTTGTTGTCTCATGGAGAATGGGCACCTGATTATAACAATTTTTTTGCCTCATTTAATTATAGAAAACAAATGCCTCACTGGGCAATAAAAGTACATCTTTGTTCAACCTAAACATATTAGCTTATTTTATTGACACATTTAAGTATATCACTCTTATCTCTGTGGTTTGTTTTACTGTAGGCTCGTTATCCTCAACTGTTGTTTATGTTTCTCAATGTTTGTCATAGGGATAACAATATAGAGGAGTGTGGACTGGACATGGAATTTGCAGTAGACATGGAGCTTCTGGGAAAAATTACTTCCCATGACTTAAAACCTAATGGTGCCAATATCAAGGTCACAGAGGAAAACAAAGAGGAGTACCTGTCGTAAGTGTTCAGTCTGAGCAATTAAATGTATGTCTGGCTCATCCATTTATTGACTTATTCCTTTTATTATAATTATGGCTAACAATCTTGACAAGACTGATGTTCAATTAACAAGCACAGAATTTGCAGTATATTTCATATTGCTATGTTTGAGATTAGTATTTTGGTTTTTACATGTGGTATTCTTGTAAATGCCAACCTCTTTTTTGAAACAAAAACATCCCTTCCAGATATGAGTCCCTTAACCCCTCACCCCCCTCCTCCACCCTGCCTGAAATGTAAGTGAGCCAAAAAGTATTTTGGACATACACGTGTATGATAACAAGGCTGTGCTCTAGCAGTGCCCGGTTGCCTGAGGTGACCGGCTTCCATCTTTGGGCAACAGGAAAAAAGATCCCTAGTCGTCCGGCCAGGTGATCTCTTTTTTGAGATTTAACTTAGAGGTGAAAACAGTCTCACAATAATTTGTCTTCCCTTTTTAGTGCAGAGTGCACTATAGGGATGGTTTAGGGGGCTGCTGTTCACTAAGGTACTGAGCAACAAGCACTAACGCCATAAGGTGTAAATTCTAGTGTTTGTTTAATTAATTAATTTCAATTAATCAGTTAGCCCTGTAGGAAGGGGGGCTAGGTGGGTTAGGTACCCGAGTTTCCAAGCAAAACGTGTAATACTTATGTTGGTTTCTTGAAAACATGACAAAACTATATAGATGTTTTCGCAAATCTCTTGCTATCCTTGTGGTGCTATTCTCTTCAAAAAAGCAATTTGCTCAAAACGCATGCACAGATAAGTTAGCCTTCAGTGTCGACTACATGTTAGGTGAAAGATACATTTCATACGGGATCACTCACAAACGTAGAGTGCTTTTTCTTGTGGT